CCCGTTAGCAGCCAGCACCTCCGATTCTTCCCTACGCACCCCCCTCGCACGGCAGCAGCTGGTGGTCTGAAAAAGCGCGCTCATCCCCCAAATAATTTAAAATGTTTACTTCCGCGGTACAGGTGTGAAGTGTCAGCCTCTAGAAGACTCTGAAAAATAATAATAAAGAAATAATATTAAAAAAGTATTATGAGGACGATGATGATGTAGCTTTAAATGCTTTGTGTGCGCGGTCCCCAAGCTTCCCAAGTGCCCTTAACTTCCCGTGCAAGTGAAATCTAAAAGGCGAAAGCGATGTCAAGCCGAGCTGGTTCGCAACTGCAAGCCGAGAGTTCAAATTTCAAATGGCGGAGAGTAAATCAAATTCGATAAAGCAACTTGGAAAAATGGCAATATATGAATTTTAAAGCATTTTTTTCCGCCAAGAAATTTCCTGTGTTATCATATTTTTCCACTCGTCAGCGAGCAGAAAGGAAAATGAACACAAAGACACAGAAACTATTTTTCTGAGTTTCTCTGAATAACCTGTATTCCTCAATTAAGTTTAATTTTTATTAAAAACTTACCACATTATATGTGTCCCTTTATTAATCAAGGGGGGTGGTACTAGATTAGGCACTTTATGATTACCCAGTAATTCAGTGAGAAAAGCGGCCCTTTGAGCAGAGACGTGCTCCCAAAGGCGGCTGATGGGGTGTTGGCAGTGATGTAAAATAAATGCGTGTCTTCATCGTTCTCTTTCTGGGATTTGAGAAAATAGGAGAACACTCGATGGCTATGTCTGAATTGGGGGATGCCAGGATAGGGTCTGGGGGCATATTCCACACCCAGGTTTTTGTCTAGCAGCATGTGGGTGAGCTTCCACCAGCCCTCTGATCTGCATCGTTGGTCCCGGACAGCAAGAAATTCACGTGCCCACGTAATCTGCCTGAAATAAGCCCATGATAATTGTCTTTATAGGTTTTGCATGCATAAAAGCAACTCAGATGAACCGACAACCTTCCTCTGTAGCACCTTCAAACCCAATTGTGAATTGCCACGCTAAAAATAAATCCAGATTGGACTATTTTAATACTTTCTGGATGCCATCGAATTGAACGTTATATGTATGTTTTAATTTAGGGGAGAGCTCTGAAACGCGTTGTGCAGTCTGCTTACTACGAGGAGTTCCCAGGCCTGACGGGGTATCTTAAATACTGTACTGTAAATATTGCCTTAAAATAAAAGTCAGAGAAAAGTAACTTTTTTGTAGGGAAGCAAAGGACACATGAGAAATGGTCTTCTGCCCCTCTCTGAACAGCCACCTTAAAACATGGAAGAGCCTCTCTGCGTACCATGCTATCTGATCCTCACTGTAACACATGGCGGACTACCCGTTTAAGTCATTTCAAGCCATTATATTCCAGCCATATGGAAAGTATTTGTTAGAAGGGAATGTGAGGAAAGCAGTTACATGCAAACAAAGAACCGTTTAGCCAAAGCAGGCCATTTAAACACTGGTTTGCATTGCAATATCCGCAATAGAGGCACCTGCAGTTGTCACTCAGGCTGCAGGAACAAGAAGCTTTGGGGATGAGGTGGAGAGGACGGAATTCAGTAGAAGACAAAATGCGGGAATTATGTATAATATCAGCAAAATGGAAATGCGGCCTTCCTACAATAGGAAAGAATAAAGATCTCTTGTGCGATACGTTCCTGAAAGCCACGTATTTTATGTATTCCACTGCTGACCCTGGGTTTGGTTCTTTCACTTGTCCCCAGCAGTCTACGTTATGAAGCACTTTGTTCAAGGCTGTCAAGATACTATCTCGGGTTGAGAACAACAGATTTGAAATGGCTGCGTTGACTGTCCTGTGCTAAATTAGAGTGAATAAAATTGCATTGCGTTACACCAGAGATGTGCAGCCATTATGCTGTTACAAATACATTATGAACTGCCTGATAATATCTTGTGCTATTTTATGCAATTCGTTGCTTTGTTTCTCTTTTTTCTGTTAACTTTCCACTTCATTTTGTACTTTCACAATCCTTCTCCTTCCCAGCATTTTCAAGCCCTTCGTGTCAGCTATCGCTCTTTATGTTGCTCTATTAGAAGTATTCGGGGTTTTTTTTCATTTCCCTAGTTTAATTTGTCTGCAGCTGTACCTCAAATACTTCTCAGTGTGGATTTTCCGTTGCTGAATTCCTGCCCATTTTCTTTACCTCTTTTCATATTACTTCAGAGTTTGTTTTTCTAATCTCCAATAGCTTTTGTGTTATTGCCTTGTCAGTAGGATCTTGTCAGCTGCTCAGATGAGGTTCAGCTGGATTCCGGGTACTCTTCAACCTTATATATTAAGCCTGAATTATTCTGCAAGGACTGGGTCCAGAATAGTTTCTGACCTTGCTGATCATCCCATGAGAGAGTTGATGACAATGTCTCAGTCCAGTTCTTCAGACTCCTAAGCTATACAATGAAACTCATAAGTTCTGTCTCAGGCTCGATGTGACCATTGTAATCAAACTATAACTTTCCGAACAGAACAGATGTGTACTGAAGGAATTACGAGCTGCTTGGAATGTTTATGAGGTATAGCAGATCCACCAGTTTCTGTGGACCACCTTGCTAACATGCTGATGCACGGTAAAATTACAGGATGGGACCACCACCTCTCTGAAGTGACCTTGTAAATGCAAAATTTTTTTGCCATGAGTTTCAAATGAACAAATACCGCTCTAGGTTATAATTCTGGACTTAAATGCTGTGAATTTACCAAGGTAGATAGATAAATATTAAAATAAGTCCTCGCTCCTGAGATCTGTGGTCACTGCTCCCTCCAACAGTCTCTAATTTGGGGGCCATTGTAATCATGACTGGGGGCTTTGCCCCCATCTTCCTGCCACCACGTTTCTCTGAGACCTGTCAAGCATTTTAAGTAGCATGCACTTTCCCACACTTCTCAATGAATGCTGACATACCTAACTTAAAAGGATTACTTTCTGCTGAGAGGAATTGTAATCCTCTTTTCCTGCTCTGCAAATCCTCTAGTAAGTGAAAAAGAAAGGCCAAGATCTGTTCTGCTGTGCGGGGCAAATCACCATCTCAGAAGGTATAGAAGAAAACAACAAATCTAAGATTTACTTGTGGTCACGCTTGTCCAGGAGCTGTGTCCCTGACTATTAACTCATTGGAATCTTCCATCACTATTTTTGGTGCTTTGATATTTTCTGGTTTAGTTTCTAATAGCTGTATGAATGCAGGCACAATTGCTACATGAATGGTACTCAGGACAAAATACTTCTCTTAAACGTATTTACAAAGAGCTACAGATACTGAATTGCTTTAACTTGACGTTCTTAATATTATGTATTCTGTTAAGAAACCCCAGAAACGTACCTTACACTTATATAAAAAAACTAATGGGTTTCCAAACTGCCTAAGGTCAATTCGGAGAGTATTTTCAAAAGCCATTGCCAAAGATGCCGGTGGTGGTGAAGGTGGTGTTCCGAGGGTGGGATGTCAGTGGTACCCAGCACAACAACAAAAGCACAAGTGTTCCTGCTACCTTGATTTCCACCCACACATCTCAGAACCTTCCCTCACACCCAGTTGCAATAAATTGGCTTGTGGGTGAGGCTGAGGGCAAAGTTGGGGTGATCTCACCCTGCCATCTTGAGACCAAAGCCTCAAGTTATTCTCCTGCAACAGTAGCCTGAGTGCCATCTAAGAGAGCCTTCCCCGTGCTCTCTCATAACTCCCTTAAAACAGCTGCAAATCTTGGGGTGGGGGGATGCGGTGTGTTCCAATAAAGTTTGCATTGCTGAAAATGTAATTTCCTTTTTTCATCTTGCAAACCAATATTTTGTTTCCAGGCTTTCCTAAAGTAGATGAACCAGGATCACTGTCCCCTCCCCCTTTCCATTACACTTATTAGACATCAAGCTGTACTTACCAGGTGGATGAACACCAGCTTCCAGCTTCCTCACAGGAGGTATTTTCCTTTCCAGTACACTACTGCTGTTTTTTTTATCTAATTCTGCAAGTGTCAGGTCAAGGCAAACTGCCATGTCCTTTACTAATTCACCCTAAAATTCCTTGTTGACATTTGAAAGTGTCATGTGTTTTTATTAATTCTTAGCTGTATTTCAGCGCACTCTGATGGATGGCTGTTTCCAGACTGCCCCTGAGGGGGCTGTGTTAGTTTTAGCTAATTCCTCCTTGGGTAAATTCTGCAGCATCAGCAGAGC